ACACACACACACACACACACACATATATATATATATATATCTATATCTAGATATATAACACACACAAACCTAAACACTCACAATACACATAACAAACATACACACACACATATTTATTGTGTATACACACAGATATATGAATGTCATATGCTTAGTTTTATATGGATGTATTTAGATAAATTCTTACAACTTCAACATATAAAAATGGAAAAAGTATGAAATGCTGTTTACAAGGGCGTAAACAGATACATACAGTTTTGTACATATAACACTACACATAATCGTGATTACGCTATGTAACTAGCTAAAATTTGAGTTTGTATATATAATCACGGTTGGAAAATGAATAACATTCGGGTATTATACTAACATATGTTGCAGGTACTGTTCTATCTCGATCCAATGCGACTGTTCTTCAGGCTAGCTGAAAGTAGCTTTGCTACATATCTTGCATGCGCTAACAACGATCTTTCCTATATTTTCACACGCACAGCCAAGCAGACATATCCTCACGCACACAATACATACCCGTACTCTGCAGATCTCTAGACTTCAATCCTACAACTAAAAGAAGGCGAGGTGCTCACTTATCTATATTCGATTAAGGGCAAAGGGCACCTACTTATTTAGTCATCAGTTCATCACTCATACCCCCTGCTATGTACACATCACAGCGGCCCCAGAGTTTAATACACGGCAGATTCTGAGATTCAGAATTGAGAATTAATAATAGGCAAATGAAAAATAGCACTCAAATATATTAATTTTGATTGGTGCTTTATTATGATGTCGCCTTCTTCTCATTCAATTACAATAAATAAAGGACAAGAGCGCATCAGACTCTAAACTCTATGCTCAAAACGTTGTACGTTCTAAAAGGAAATTTAATAGTTGATCGATATAAACGTTAAATACTAAGCCATATAAATACTGCCATAGAGCTTCCTATTTATATATTGTGGGTTTGTTTTTATATATATAAAAAATAGAAAAATCCAAAAAAATAAAATAAAAGGTGCTGCACCAACGCACCAAACAGAGTTACTGAGTTAGAGACCATGGTCCATGGAGTATATTCCATAAATACTCCATTCTTCATAGACCAATAGGCCATAGGCCCATAGCTCAATGCTCATAGCCTCATCACTCTGTTTTAATTTTGGCGTGATCCACAAATCCAAAATTTTAGACCCGGGACCGGTCCTGAGTCCAAGAACCAGGTCACTGGTAACACCTAATATATTTAAAGTTGAAATGTTCAAATACATAGCCTTCCCTTTCTTTTTGATGAGAGGTCTATGTATTTTTATGTCAAAATAGATTGACTAAAAAATTGTGTGTAATAAAACACGGATATTCGTGATAATTGAATTCAAGCATCGTAGTAGAGTGCGAGATTGTGTAGTGGGTAGGATGCTCACCTGGCAGCGCATTGAAATTTAGGATTCAATCACGAGAAGAAAGCTGAAGCACCAACAATCTCTACACAATCCAGAATAGTAGTTCTCCTTCGTTAAAGACCTTACGTATGCAAGAGGAAGTGCTGTCGATGTGCATGTTTAATGCGACGTGGCGTGAGGCAAAGCCATAGTATTTATTTAGCATATTCAGCATATATACACTTCAGGCGTTATGGGTGAAGATAAAGAGATCTCAAGACAAGTCTGGGACGGAAGGATTCCGATTTGCTTTACTTTGGCCGAGGACGAGCACACACCAGGCCAGGATCCACCCCCCCCATACTATGTTCTGGCCCCTCGGATCTCGTATCTAACACTGGTTACAGACGCGTGCCAAAGGCACTTTCTTAATTCAAAGCGAGAGCCTCCAAATTTTGACGATGAGTTCTGGTGTGACCTGAACGGAATGCCGTTAAAATGGTAGGTTGCTTAAAAGTGTGGCATTGAGGTTTTAGTACAGAATGTGGAAGTGGATGGTGTACAACGTCATTTGATTTAGTATGTTGTGAAGATATATATCGATGTATCTGTCTATAAAAACGCAAAAACGCAAAATCACACACACATAGATACACACGTGTACACACACACACATAGATACACACGTGTACACACACACACACATATACACATAGACACACATATACACATGCACAAACAAACACACACACATGAACACAAACACACACACACACACACACACACACACACACATAT